AAAAACCAAAAAAAGAAGAAGAAGAAGAAGAAGAAGAAGAAGAAGAAGAAGAAGAAGAAGAAGAAGAAGAAGAAGAAGAAGAAGAAGAAGAAGAAGGGAGAAGAGCCACCAGTCAGCTATGGGCTGGGCTCTCATCTGTCTGCAGAAGTAGAGAGAGGGCTCTATGCAGAGGGAGACACCTCAGAAATGTTCTATTCTGCACAGAATAGAACATTGACTCACTCAACACCATAGCATACCCACTATGCATTGCAGAATGCGTCCCTTAACAAGAAAGCACCTTCCAGTCTTCATGGATCTTTGCAAGCAATGAGATTGGAAGATACTGCTTCGTATGGCCAGGAGCTGCAAGAAGACATAGGCCCATGGATGACCTAACAGACCAATTGCTGTGGAGATACCAGCTTCCGCTCTGTCTTTGGCCCCTGCCTTCCACGTGCTGGCCACACTCCAGTCAGTGGTACCTAAGGCCCCTCAGCCTACCTATGTGTGGCTCGGCTCCCAGGTGACAGAGGGGCTTCTACAGGTCCCATCACTTCACTTCATCCTAGAAGCAGCTGCTTGCTCTCTGGGATGAGCTCTCAAGGTTCCCCTCTTCAAGGTATCATGTGGGTACATGAAATCCCGGTCACCTGGCTTATGCTGACAGCTGAGAGCCGGAGTCAACCCAGCCCTGCCCCTCCTCCTTAAATCGGCAGTTTCGGACTATTGTTGACCCTAACCTACAGGGAGAAATATACTGGACACTGCTTCAAAAAACTTTCCATAAAGATAATTATGAACACATTTCAGAAGCAGTAAGATAGTTCAGTGAGTAAAGGTGCTGCTGTCAAACCTGAAGACCTGACCCCAGGGCCCCATTGGTAGGAGGAGAGAACAGAATCTCATACATGGGCCTCTGAGCATCCCATATTTTATGCACACACACACAGACACACAAATAAATAAATTTAATTTTAAAAACTAATGACGAACGTGTTTCAAAGTTATCCCAGCACTTGAGAGACAGACGTAGGCAGATCTCTGTGAGTTCAAAGCCAACCTGGGCTGCATAGTGAGAACCTGTCTTTAAAAGAAAAAGTTACTTTACAGACTTAATACAAAGAAAAAAACCTATAGCAGACTAATTCCAAAGCTTTAATCATTGTAAGCACATTTCACAGGAAAAGAAAGTGGGTATTTCTTTATTTTATTGATATATAATCATTGTATAAAACACTGGATTTCATTATGACATACTCATAATATCATATACTTGGATCATTATCGACTCAGGGTTTCTTTCTTTGCTCCCC